GTAAAAAATTACCACAAGTATACCAAATGTTTGAAGAGCATAAGCCAGACTCACATGTCCTTCAAAGGAGGCAAAGGAGGGAGGAACTCCGAAAGGGTGACCGGCTGCGAGGAAGACCCATCCTGGGCGAATCCCTTGAACTTATTCACGCTTCTCCACGTCTGCCCGTCGAGGCTCTGCGGCTGCGCGGGACACAGCAGGCCGAGCGCAAGGAGGTGCAAGGAGATCCACTTCTCCTCCCTCTTGTGGAGGAATCCATGGCGGATGAAGCTGGCCAGGGCCTCGGGGTTCCCCTCGTCCTGCCAGAGCCTCACAGCTGAGGCCAGAAATGTTTTGGCAGTCTTGGGTAGAATGTCTTTTGATTCTGGAAACTTCCCATATTTCTAATGAATCAGAAACACGGGTTCAATAAGTGCCAGTAATAGTGCTACATTCAATGAAGTTACATTCAATAAGAGTGAAACTGACAATTCCACATCCTTGTGCTATGGTTGCCTTTTAATTTTCAACACAGACCAAAATGTAAAGGTTGCTCCACAGTTTTTAGATAAATTAGGATTCTCCATCAAGAATATTCACCAAGCCGACAAGACAATGCTGTATAGAAAGTGTATCAGCCCATCTTGCTCTGTGTGAGACCCAGCCTAAAGTTTTCCATCCTATTTGGGTACCCAAATTTTTTTAAACAAGGATTTCTTTTCCACTTCCAGGAAAATGTCTAGCAATGGATTTACTTCACCCAGTCTCACAACAGGAAGGACATCATCAAATGGCAAGTGGATCCCTCACATGAGCAATACGGGAATCACATCAACTAAAAGGGCGGCTGAGCCCCGAGATCTCACGTGAAGGGCAGCCATGACGAGAGGAAAGACGGGCTGAAGCTGTTCTGTCACGATGAAGGAAGTGAGGTTCTCCACGAAGAGATCCCAAGGGTACCAAGTCCCTTCGCAATGGAAAGGGGTTGGGGTGAGGGAGAAAGCGGAGATCTCGCACACCAGAGTCAGCAGGGTCTGCAAGTCATTGCGGGCTCCGGATGGAAATAGCCCTCGTCTGGACACAGAATGCAGAATTCAAAGTTGAGAAAATACGTTGATCTGAAACCATTCTGTTTTCTGACTCTGGCATCTTTTGTCTACACCAGGGCTGTCAAACTCAATCTGACTGAGGGCCAGATGGAAGCCTTCAGGAGTGATTAGGAGCCACAACAAAAATGTAACACCTGATTTTT